CCCTGACGTTTTCAGCGCTAATGGCGTCTCCCCGAACACAGCCGAAGCGGGACGACGTGTGGCTCTGCGCTAACACGCGTGACTAGTAATAGTAGGGTCCTCGGTTCGATCCCGACCGGACCCGACTCTCGTCCCGCATATTTTTCGTCAGGGAATCATTTACTACTGAAGTTTGGTTCGTGTCCAATGATGATTCTTTGCATTGTACCTGAAAATAAAGGAAAATTGCTGCTTATACCTTTACGTATCTTGTGTATTGGCCTGTTTTCTAATTACAAATTTAATAGGTCGCCGGTCCTCATTCGGATCCATTGAGGAATCGGCCTGTTCTATTACAAATTAAATTTGTCCGTTTAGTGTTACCGGTCCGCATCTTAGCATTGTACCGTATAGTGTTTCCGGTCCTCATCCGCGCGGATTCATTGTACCCTTTGACTATATAATCATGGACTGCTAGTTACCCCCACTTTTCCTATCCTTACAATGCTTTGCTGTCTAATGGACATGAAACGCGCCCCCAGGTCCTAAACGGCGAAAAATGGAAACATCAAGTGAGATTCCGATGGTAAATGGTGAGAAAAGAAGGTGTTATATCACTATTCTACGATTTTTAGCAAATTATCAATCTGCTAAAAGTCGTAAAATAGTGGTGTGTGTGTTCAGGCAGTCTTGCTATTATACATTCTTACATTATAAGAAAAGAACGAATTAAATTTAAAAAGAATGAAATAAATACAGAATGTTAAATATGAAATATTTTATTATTTATTCAAACTAAAATATATGTTTATGTAATATACAGGGTATCAGACTCGTTTGTAGCCAATCTAAAAATTACGGTAGATTGGGTTAAACTGAGAAGAAGAGTCATGTACCGTTGTGCAAAATTAGCAATAGTTATCGCGTAATTGATAAAAACGTCTAGTCGAATGAACGCACAAGGAGCGAAAGGCCGGACTCAGCAGGCATTGAGTGACGAGCGACGTGACTCAACCTCTCGCTACTGTGTCCTAGGAGATATGTATAAACAAATAAAGCATTTTGCATCCTGCCAGGTCCGGCCTTTCGCTCCTTGTGCGTTCATTCGAGTAGACGTTTTTATCAATTACGCGATAACTATTGCTAATTTTGTATAACGATACATGACTCTTCTTCTCAGTTTAACCCAATCTACCGCAATTTTTAGGTTGGCTACAAACGAGTCTGACACCCTGTAAATTACATATACATATATTTTAGTTTGAATAAATAATAAAATATTTCATATTTAACATTCTGTATTTATTTCATTCTTTTTAAATTTAATTCGTTCTTTTCTTATAATGTAAGAATGTATAATAGCAAGACTGCCTAAACACACACACCACTATTTTACGACTTTTAGCAGATTGATAATTTGCTAAAAATCGTAGAATAGTGATATATGACACCTTCTTTTCTCACCATTTACCATCGGAACCTCACTTGATGTTTCCATTTTCTGCCGTTTAGGACCTGAGGGCGCGTTTCATGTCCATTAAATCGAAAAAAGCCAACTAGCAGTCCATGATTATATAGTCAAAGATTGTACCGAATAGTGTTACCGGTCCGCATCCGGATTCATTGCGGAATCGACCTGTTCTATTACAAATTTTAGGGCGGTTGCGCCCACAGGTCCCAGGTCCAGGGCAGGGAGGCCCGTCAGTCGTTTGAGTCTATTGCACAATTTTAAAATTGTGAGATAATCTCAAAGATATGAGCTAAAATACACTACATAAAGGATAAGAATTGCTAGTTTTCTCTTGATAATGAAGGTCTTGTGGGGGCTGAGGACTAAAACATGTACGAAACGAGATCAGTATGGTTGCAGATGTGATCCCTGACGGAAAAATTTTGCTGAAAATGTAACGAAATTGATGAAAAGTGAAATGAAAGTTATTGGAAACTTGTTGAAATCATTTTTTTTTCAAAATAAATCATAAGTTTCGTTATGAAATTTAATGAAATACTGTGAAATTTTTTAGATGAAAGTTAATTAATATTACTAAAAATTAGTGAAAAATTTTTAGAAATGTATATTATGAAATTTGCAGAATTTCACTGAAATTAAATTTTTTAATGAAAAATTGCTGAAATGATAATGAAATTGGGTCAATTACAAGAGATTTTCAACCAAATTTCAGCAAATTTCATTACGTTTTCAGCAAAATTTTTCCATCAGGGATTCTTAAGTATTTTGGCGTGCGGGAGGGTAGGATCGCAAAAAGGGAGATGGATACAGCGAGAACGCGCGTAAAACTCTCCATCGTGCCTTTCCACGTTTCTCTAACGACAAGCGAAATGAGAAATGAACCAGGGGCTCGATTCTTGAATTCATTCGAAGGAGAAACGTATACGAGAATTCGGTCCCGAAAAATTGGAGGTCGATTGGTTAAAAGCTTTGCGGGTAGCCAGTCAACTTGCAACCTTGCTGCAAGAGCACATATTTCGTTTACGTTTCCCCTTCGAATGACTTCAAGAATCGAGCCCCAGAGGGTCGGTTCTGTATTTTACAATATAGTGAAAATGATTTGCAAGCAATCCAGCTGGAAAAATAGCATCGTCCGCGGCGGTTTTAAGTCTATGGTTCCTTGCATCGTGGGTACAGGCCTTAATGGCTCCTGCCCATTGGACGCGGCAACGTTACCGCGTCCAGTGGGCAGGAGCCATAAGACATGCAGCACCCAACACTGACGCAGTAGAATGCACTCGAATGCGTCGTCGACCAACAACTTGAGTGTCGGTGTCGGTGACAGTGTGAAAAATTCATCCGCAGCGTGACATTGTTTTTCCTCAAAGCCGCCACGATGCACGACGCTTACGAGGAGACGTCTATATTAAATATCACCGTGCAAATCGAGTCTATGGCTGCTTATGGTGAGAGAGGACCCTCGATCGCGCAACGGGGTTATCCGGAAATTGTTGGGCCAGGTTGTTTATCGAGCTTGTAATCGTTTCAGATGACAACCTGCTGATAGGCACCAGGGAAGGTCACCTAATCATGTACAACGTCCCGTCGGTGTTCGACGACAGCCACAAGCTCGAGTTGTTGCGCCACAGCAAGAATTTCAATAAGAAGCGAATCAATCAGATAGACGTCGTGCCGGAGTACAACTTGTTGATTATCCTGACAGGTGCGTGCGAGTTGACGCGTCAACGAGTCAGTTCGCTTGACAGGCGATGTCGCTGCTCGGTCTAATCGTGGATAAAATCCCGCAGATAACATCGTGTGCATTCACGACCTGAACTCGCCAAACTTTCAACAAATATGTCAATTACCAAAGACCCGCGGCGCCACGCTGTTCACTCTGGACGTCCAGACGACTCAGAGCCTGACCGGGGAGAAGAACACGGTGGTGCGCCTGTGCGTCGCCGTTAAACGTAAATTGCAGCTGTACTACTGGAAGGGAAAGAAGTTCGAGGAGTTTAAAGACTTCGAGCTGACCGTACCGGACATACCTCGCCAGCTGTCATGGTAACGCATACTGAGAATTCGTTAAAACGCCTGGGCACACCGGCTCCACTGATCAGATTTATATTAATTATCGAGGTGCGGCGAAACGTTAATATTAGGATTTCGCGGACTGTCCTACACGATCTTTGACCTAAACGGTAAACCTAAGGAGCTCTTTCCCACCGGTAAATCCCCAGAGCCGAGCATCACGAAGCTGTCGGACAGTTGCTTTGTCCTGGGCAAAGATTCTCAGTCGTTTATTATGGACACGAAGGGGGAGTTGGTTCAGCACAACCCAGTAAAGTGGTCGGATACACCCAATACGATAGGTACATATTCTGTCGCTACTGTTCTCCCCATTTCATTGCGACTGAACGAACTTTCCCACGACTTTTCAGCATGGGACGATCCTTACTTACTCGGCATCGTGCACGACAGACTGGAGGTGTATACGTTGGAAGGGTGTTTACATATCCAGACAATAAAGGATATAAATAAGGCCAGACTTATATACCGATGCAAACAAGGGAGAGTCTTTGTGGCGTCCATTAGTCAGATTTGGTGTGTCAAGGCAATCGATGTTACTTTACAGATCAGGACCCTCCTGGAGCAGAATCAGTTTCAGTTGGCACTAAAATTGACCGTACGTCAATTACAGCTAACGTCAATTTAAGCTACGATTCACCTTGTACAGTAGATATATTTTTTGCAGAGTCTGTCGGATATAACAGACGAGGAGAAGGCCAAGCAGACGTACAAGATACAAACGTTGTACGCGCATCATCTGTTCTATAATAAGCGATTCCAAGAGGCGATGGATCTGTTCTTAAAACTGGGAACCGATCCGTACGAGGTGATCAGATTGTTTCCGGATTTAGTCACGCCATCGACCAATACCCACGAGCTCAGCGAGCCGGCGCCCAGTTTACCGAAGCTGCAAGATCACGATTTGGAGAAGGGCTTACGCGCGTTGATAGTTTTTCTAACTGAGGTCAGGCACAAGCTGATGGCGAAAGACAAGGAACTCAAGGAGAAAAATGGCGTAAACGGGGAGAAGAATCTGACTGTTGTAGCTACGGAGCAGCTTTTAAAGATTATAGATACGACCCTTTTAAAGTGCTATCTACAGGTAAGAGAAGACGGGAATGATAAGAATCTGCGCGCGGAAGAGGCTTCTCGTGAAGGCTATTTGCGTAGAGTGAACATTGCACGTGTTTTGTTTTAGACCACTGACGCCTTGGTGGCGCCTTTACTTAGACTGAACCACTGTCACTTGGCAGAAGCTGAGAAAACTCTGTTGATGCATCAGAAATATCCGGAGCTCATTATATTGTACCAGACCAAAGGGCAGCACAAGAAAGCGTTGGAGCTACTGGAGAAGCACGCGAAGGAGAACGATTCTAGTCTGAAAGGCACTGAGAGAACCATACAGTATTTGCAGCATCTCGGCAAGGATCACATGGATCTGATACTGAAGTTTGCCGGGTGGGTTTTAACGGAGGATCCTGAGCAAGGCCTTAGAATATTTATGGAGGATATACAGGTGCTGTAGCTTGGTTCCGATTTTTTCTTCACATTCACCGTCTCTTTTATTCACTTGTGCGTCTCGCTGCATTTTCCAGGAAGTCGAACACTTACCCAGACCAAAGATATTGGATTACCTTCTACGTCTCCACAAAGACTTAGTCATACAATACTTAGAACACGTAGTACACGTTTGGGAGGACACCAACCAATTGTTCCACAACGTTTTGATACATCAGTACAAGGAGAAGTGTCTAGCGTCCATGAACGCGAGCGCAACGCCGGCGGAGAAGGAAACTTCGCAACACGTCCGACAGAAGTTGCAGCAGTTTTTGGAGAAATCGGCGTATTATACGCCGGAAACGATACTGGTGCATTTCCCGTTTGACAGTTTGTTCGAGGAACGCGCGATTATACTCGGGCGACTCGGCCGTCATCAACAGGCTATATCGATATACGTTAGTCTCTTAAACGACATACCGCGTGCGATACAATATTGCCAAAACGTATATACGAGGTATCGAAGTAAGTGAACTTTAAGATAACTACGTATTGTTTTAGTGGAAGTAATGTAATTAATTGGGCATTGCTTTAAGATCAAGATCGTGCGGAGAAGCAGAAGCAGACGGATAATGCCGAGGAAGTGTACGTTTTGCTAATTCAACAGTTATTGAAGCCCGATAACGAAGGAGTTTTAATGGCTGGTAAATATTGACGTTAACAATTCGTGCGCTCAGCGCGATGCTATAATTTCGTATTTAAAAAAATTCTACTTCTACGTGTACACGCATATCCCAAGGTTGGTAATCCCTTTTAAGGTTGTAATCCGGAAATTCAAAGAACGACACAGCCAGATTTAGAGATGGCCCTCCGGCTGCTGGAGGAGCACGCCTCCAAGATAAATCCTATGAGGGTCCTGGAGGTTCTACCGGATTCCGTTCCTATCGGTAGAATAAAGCACTTCCTGGAAGTCAGCTTGCAGAACAATCTGAACGCCAGGCGGAGAACGCAGGTTCTCAAGGGGCTGCTTTACGCGGAGCATTTACAGGTGCAGGAGCAACGGATGCACTACGAATCGCAGAGCGTCCTCATGACAGAGTTCAATATATGTCCAGTTTGTAAGAAACGATTCGGCAACCAAAGGTTCGTACGCGTGTTCTTGCAATTGAGTTCTGTAGGGTTCGCGCTCTTCAAAGTATAATTTGAAGGATCTATCGCGCGCGTATATATCAGCTCTCACGAGTTTTACATACGGTAGTAATCGGTTCTGTTTCCTTAGCGCCTTCGCGAGGTATCCCAACGGTGACATAGTGCACTACTCCTGTCAAGATCGCAAGGGGTAAAGGAGGAGTCGCTGGATTATACATAACAAGTCATACGTCTCACGATGCATAAGTTTAAGATTGTATATATCCGATGTACGCATTTTATATATACGAATTTCGCATACGAAATTCCGGCACATGTATTGTTACGCAAAACTCCAAGACTATCCGCTCTGCAGGCACTTATTAAAGATTACCTAATTATTAGATATTAATTATAGTAAAACTGCTTCTCGCGAGGAACTCCTCGGGTCAGTCGCTAGCGCGCTTATATTCCGCGAAAGGTAAATGCAAACGGAAAAAAAAACGACGCGGCAACCATTCGGAAGCCATTACGACTGAAGAAGACAGCCGCGAAAGCTCGAAAGCCAAGAAAAGAAAAACCAATCGTGTAGAACACGCAGGAAATATTTTGCCGATCGACATCTTTGCGGTAATGATCGAAGCGGCCGAGGCGTAAAATAAATTAAAAAAAAATATCGAGAATATAGTCGCGTTCTCGGCGATTTAAATCGTTCTGCGGGCGTTTCGGCGCCTCGGCGCGATTGGTCGGCACGATCGCCCCCGCGTGACATTCGAAATGGAGATTTGCGGGGCCGGGAACCGGCGCGGTTTCCCCGGCGAGGGCGACCGCGTACCCTCTGCCGCGCGAGCGTCCGCTAATAAATCGGAATGGCGAAAGAAAGGGCCGAGACTCCGGCGAGAGTGCAGCGCGGAGGATGGGGCGTGACCGCGGTCCAGAATACAGATTGATGATGTCATAAGCGATCGTGTATTCCTACGCCGGCCGGCGAGAGACAGGTACAGTACAGATGAGAATGTTGCGGCCGTCCGAGCAGCGCCACGTTGATTGGCGTCCCTTAAGCCCGGTGTCACACTACGTATTACGAATTGCGAATCGGATTGATCTCGATACAATTCGCGATCTGTTGAAATTTGACCGGAGTAAAATTTATTATTAAAGTATCAAGTTTAATGAATTTTACTCCGACTGGTCTCGATCTAATTTCAATCTCGATCGGTGCCCGACACGGGCTTTACGTGCAAGTCAAGCTCATCTACATTAATTTCATTTATATTTGTATCGTATTTTTCTTTCATTTATACTCGTAGTTGCATCGCGAAAAAATTTACGACGGGACGATATTAAAATTCCAAATTTTATTCGACCACGGCTGGCCACATTTGTCAGTTTCTCTGTCAATGCAGAAACGGAACGATATTATTTTACTTCAAGGCGAAGCGCAGAACTCGCACGGCGAGATTTCGCGTGGAGCGAATTTAACGTTTGTCTGCAAATGTAGTTTGTACAGACGAGTGTCTTGTATTTTTCAAGTCACAGTTAGACATTGCGCATGCAAATTGTAACGCGGTAACGTCGATTTTGTAGAACCGAGTATCTGATCGGAAAATACGTGCGTATCTTCGAAGAGAGCTCTCGTTTGTTGAAAATAATCTTACGTCGGGTCGAGAGGAAAGTTTGCCCGTTGAAACTTACATTCGATCGACATGGTATCGCGAGAGACTTTTGTTCTTTGTGGCCGAACTTTTCAATCTTTTCCTTCTTCCTCTCCGACACTAATTTCACCTCGAAACGTACAGTTTACGCATTAATCGGATTTAATAGTGTAATTTAATACGTTACGATTACACCCGTAATTATAATTATTGGCGTAAAATGTACGCTTGTTAAGTCCGGTTTTACGCCAGTTGTTAAACGCCGCACCCGTTGACGGAGAGACGGAGACCATAAATCCGGTTTTTAAAAAAACGTGTAAACGTGCTAAGCGACTTGTCGCGATTGCATTCCCAACTTGGGATAAAATTGCGAGAGGAAATACGGTCTGCCGATCCTCTCCTCGACAAGGTCAGAATTTAAAGATTTCTCTTAAAGGAGGATAAGACTCGCGCAAACGAGCATGCAGTTTCAGCGAGTACAACTACAGGGGCTCGGTCGTAAATCCTTTCCTCTCGTGAAACGTGAAAATTTTCATTGACGAATTCATTGTTTGAATTCACTTTTTCACGCCGCAGGAAAAGAAATTCATATCACTCTAGTCTCGGGATGTGAAGAGAAGCCGACGTTCCCCGGCGAGTTTCGCGCTCGAGACACCGCGTACTGTACCGCGATTTCCCGCGAATCGCCGCGTTCGACTCCTCGTTCTTGCCGAATCGAGGAGACACTCGAGCGCGGGCGAGACGAAAGAGACCCGCGGACAGGGTCGCTTAAATTCATTTGAAAGAAAAACGTAAAAGCGAAAATTCCGCTCTCGCAGAAAAGTCGCAAGTCGATTGGCTATTCGTGTGGTTTTCAACCGATCGACTTTCCACCTTTCGCGATTCTCGAATTCGCTCGAGGGAGAAACCCACGCAAAAGTTCTGCTCTTACAGAAAAGCTGCAGGTTGACTGGCAATTTCTGCGAGAGCAGAAATTTCCGTTTCTCTTTCGAACGAATGAAAAACTCGGGGGGGGGCCCCAGGTGAGACGGCGCGCCCCGCGTTTTCCAATTTTCCGCGTCGACCGGCGCGACGCGGGGCGGGGCGGGACCGCGGCGCGCGGCGCAAGCGCGAAGGGACTAGCTGCGGCGGCGTAGGCGCGCGCCGCGCGCCGCTCAGTCGGTTGCGCGCCGGTCGAGTGTGTGGACGGGGCGGATTGGTGTTGGAGCGTTATTTGGTGGTATTTTGGTGTACCGGGCCGGGACTTTTATGCGAGTTGCGAGGCGGCACGGCGTCCGCGGGGTGTCCTTGCACGAGGGTAAGTAAAAGCCGGCGTTGGCGCGGGACGCGCCTCGCCCCCCGAGCCGCGCGTTTCGGCGGAAGCGAGTCCGAGTCGCCGCCTCGACTCGGTGACGGGTGGATATTGGTGTCGGGATAAAAATGGCGTGCGCCGCCTAGGCTTCTCTCTCTCTCTCTCGCTCTTTCTCTCCCCGTACCGTACACAGTGCTACACCGAATAAGTGCTACGGCCCGTCGGTGCCGGTGCGTCGCGACGGCGGGTCGCGCTGTCAATAACGATCGCGTCCCCCCGCAGGGATCGCGTCGCGACGGGTCAGCGGCGGCGGCGGCGGCGGCGGTGGCGGCGTCTTCGTCGCCCACGGAGGCCGTAGGGCTCTCTACCGGCATTGATTGCCGCCGACGCTGGCGAACGTGTACACGTCCCACCGTACTTATCTCATTGAATCGCCCCGCGTCGTCCCCCGCGACCGCCCTCCCCCTCGCCGTTTTCCCGGATTTCTCCCGCGGTGTCTGCTCCGCCGTCTCCCTCCCCCTCCCCCCCTCCCTTCTCTTTCCGTCCGCGGCGTCGACCCGATCCCTCGGAAACCTCGCTCGACTCGCGTTTCGATCGGCCCGGGTTTTTCTCGCCCGTATCTCTCGCCGACTTGCAATTTCCGCCGCGGTATCGGAGCTGCCCCCCCCTCCCCTCTCTCTCTCTCTCTCTCTCCCCTCGCCGGCCATCCTTCCGGCCGGCCGTTCGTCCCTTCCCTGCCGCGAAACGGTTTTGTTCACCTGTCACAAGGCGACCTATCTGCCGGTGACCCAATTTCCCGGCGCTACCATTGAACGCGCCGAGCGCCGAGGAGCGGAATCGAACGCAACTCGACGACCCCCCCCCTTGCCCCCCTCTGCCCCCGCGCGTTTTCGCGCATTAACGCGTCGCCGTCGTACGCGAGTTTCTGGGTGGTTTTTCTTTTTTTTCTTCTTCTTAATCGCGCGCTACGCGCCGGCGACGCGAGTCAACGCCGGGTACGAAGGGCGGCTCGGCGATGCTCGGCGCGACAGTAATCGCGGTGGGTCTCCTCCCCCCCCCCCCCCTCGCGGTCGCCAGCGCGTCAACTTGGCTTTAAATTGATGTCAATGGGCGTGGAAGGGCAAATAAAGCGATCCGGCGGCGCGTTCGCGCGAGATAAAGCCGTCCTTGTACGTACATAATACCTGGCCGTCGCAACTTCATTCGTGCTAGCAGCGCGCACTCGCGGCGAGCGTCTCGAGGACTGTGTGTGTGTGTGTGTGTGTGTGTGTGTGTGTGTGTGTGTGTGTGTGTGTGTGTGTGTGTGTGTGCGCGGGCCCGACGGTACGCGCGAGATTAGGGGTGAAGCGGAAGTCGCGCTTAACGGTACACCTCTTTCGCTGATCTCGACACGCGAGGATCTTCGATGACTTGCTCCACAAAAATCAATCGGTGAATTGTCAACAGCGACTGATTTACGGTTACAAGCATCCCTTACGGAAAAAAAGAAAAACACTCGAGTATTGAGCGTTAACACTCGATTGTCCGAATGTACTCTCAAATTTAAGCCAACGGCACACGATACTATTTTTCCTACTGGATTCCTTACGAGAGCCAACCAGGATTCAGCTTTGAGTCACCTGATCGAAAACTCTGCGTCCTGATTGGCTCTCGTAAGCAATCCAGTAGGAAAAATAGTATCGTGTGCCGTTGGCTTTACTCTTAAATTTGGGCGTGAATATTTAAACGCTCAAGTTTTGAGCGTTAACACTCGATTGTCCGAATTTACTCTGAAATTTGGGCGTAAACACCCGGATTGAGATATTTCTGCCGAGAGTAAATTTGGACAATTGAGTGTTGACGCTCGGTACTTGAGTGTTTTTTTTTTTCCTTAAAGGATACCACTGCGATTTTCAATGGTGTACTTAAAAAGTCCCCTGTTACGAGACAGGCTCCTAATATGAGATAGCGGAGTTTCCGCTAAATTAATAGGCGTCATCTGTTGGCTCCACCGCGAATTTGTTGCCATTGGAGCGAAGTCCGTTTAGTGGAAAGTTAATTGTTAGATCGTGTAGTCGTGTTGCGAAAGAGATTTGCATGAATGAACTTGGACGCTGAAAACCTGCTGTCTCATATTAGAATCCTATCTCGTAATAGAGGACTTTCCTCTAATTGCAAATCGGCGACTATTCACTGTACTAATTTTCCAAGAGTATGTTTCTTTCATTTGGTGGCGGGGCGAATCTTCTCCCTGCTTTCCAAAAGGTTACAAGACTGTGTAAAACTTGAGGTTACACTTAAAACTAAATCATCTTGAACGATACAAGGTCTCTGGTGTGATATCTTACGCAAGAATCGAAGGGTTGGCTCGCGAGAGCCGGACGGTGGCTCCTCGCTTTTTGTCAAAAGTGAGTTAAAGGTTTGTCATTGCCGAAAGAGCTAACAGGAAACCAGCCGACTGATCCCTTTCGCAGGACCGTGTTTCGATTTTACGCAATTCTGGCCTTCGTGCTTTCCGGTCCAGGATGTGCGTTTAGCAGAAGAACCAGAAATTACGTGAAATCGAGACACGACCTCGAGAAGATCAGTCGCAATCTATTTTTTATTCAAATTAAAAGAATGACGTTGTATTAACAAGGTCAGTGTAATTGAAATAAAATCGTTGAAACAACATCACACAGTTGAACAATTTGAGATCAGTAACAATTGTGTGAACAGGTATGGATTTACAATTTACTCTTGCTATAATTGCCCCCCTTTTTTATTTACTTTATATTAAAAAAAATATTTAGGGCCAAGTTATGCACGTTTGCAGATTACTTGAAAAGGGTCCAAATTCGGGACCGAAACGTCGTTTGTTTTTTAAATAAAAATGTTGGTCATTGTAGGTCGTTTTTGAAAAACTATATACCTATCATTGGTTTTATACTACTGGCGATATTAAATCTATTTGTGAGTGGAAAATTTATGTAAAATTTAACAAATATATGTCCCAAACGGTCCACACAAATTTTTGTGTTAATTTAACATAATATGGATATGTTAAATGATCGCACTAATACTCTGTTAATATTTTAACACAAAATAAGTGCAAATCTCAAAATAATTTGAAATCAATTTTATGTAAAATTGACATATTTTTAATGATATAATGAATTTTTTTAAATGTAATTCTTACATTTTACAGATGTAATAAGTTAATTGACGGGTCGAAATCACTCACTTATGTTATATAGAATAATTTTATATGTTATATAAAATCAGCATTTTATTCTGTAAATTTTAACAGATAAATCTTGTTACTAATAATATAGAACATATGTATTGTGTAAGATTAAAAAATAAGTACACATTGTGTTTTAACATTTCTTTTCAAGTATTTTAATAATTTTACATTCGAGGTCAATTAACACAAGAGCAACATGTTAAATTAACACATGAACGTGTTAAACATTTAACACAAAAATTTTAACGACATTTTCTTCAACAAGAAAACATAAATTTTCCAATTGTGCAGTATTAATAAATGAAAAGCATCAGATTGTTGTCTTAACAATCTGGATATTTAGTTCAATGCTTAAAGTTAAAATCCATAGCAAGCACAATTGAGTGAATTATTTAAAAAGTCGAAATAGACGCGTAGACAACATCTTTATACTGTTATTGCGACAAATATATTATCATATGCCTCGGTGGTCGAATTGGTGAGACGCCCGCCTGGAGTGTAGGGAGGTCCAGGTTCAAACCCTGGCTGAGGTAATATTTTTCGCAATAAATTTTCTGTATTATCAAAATTGCCAGATACGGTCAAGAAAACACTGATGTTGTGAATTATTTATGTTTGCCGCAGCCCGTGACGTTAACGTTTAATTCAAGCAATTTCATTTCGCTTAATTCAATAGCATGTTTTTTTTCCCTCGTGAACCCATCATATCGTATGTATTACGCGGGAAAGAGTGCACTTTTCAGACGGTCCTCTTTCAATTCCTGTAAAGTTTACTAAAACGGGGCCATCTGGTTCTCCCGTCCAACCCTTCAATTATCAAGCACCGAGTCGCACAGATAAATTTCGGGGCTGGACGCGCGTCCCCTGAAGCTTTGTCGACGCTCGTCGAGATCTGCTCTAGGGGAAAAAAAGACAGCAACCCATTTTGGAGTCCACAATTAGTAATCGAATTATTTGGATTGTTCGAAACTCTACTCTGGGAAAAATTTTGACCGTTTTCTTTTTGTAGTTAAGCAACTTAACATTTCGGTTAGTGCCTTTGCGTTACTGAATATCGACAGAATTAATTGAGAGAATTTATTAGTATTACTTAAAAATCTTGGCTATAGATAGAATAGCTAATTGCAATTTTTAGTTGCGCGGAGTAAAATTCGTAAAAGATTAGAGTGTTACGAGCAATCCAAATAATTCGATTACTAATTGTGGGCCCCAAAATGGGTAACTGTCTGTTCTTTCTCAGAGTAGCTGGCGAAGAGCGGAGGCTAAGAATTAGCCGAGTGTCAGTGAACATTCCTTCGGCATTTCTCGTGGAAAATGTTGTCTGCGGCCGGCCTCAGCGCCCTGACGAACGGCATTTTTACATTTCCGAGTCTCATTGCGAGAGAAAGAGAGCTTGCCCGCTGCCCTCGTCATTCGCTCCAGATTTTCTCTCCTCAAATCCACCGAGTTTGTCATCAATTAACGAGCCGAACGAAGTGTCCGTTCATAGACTGCACGAGACTCGCGTGGTCGAGGAAAGAAAAGTGGAGAATCCGAGTTTACCGGCCCCAGTCGCTTTCGCTCGATGATAAAACTCGCGTTTCTTTCATTTCGTGGCGGGGCGAGTACACCTTCGCCCCGCTTTCCAAAAATTAATTTATTATATGACTCTAATTTACAAAGATGCTCTTAATCTAATATCACAGCCGTTAATCATAGTGCGTTAGTTAGTATAATTTTGCTAGATATGTTTAGATATATTAGATATATTAGATATAATAAATTCTATAGATAATAATGTAAACACAACATTCTGTCTATT